ACAGAAGAAAGCTTACTTTATGTACTGATGCAGATTTGAATTCCATTTTCTGCTATTTTCTGGATGTAAGCTCTTCGAATGTGTATTCCTGCATTACCTAGAGCTAAATTTGTTATTGAAGTATGCTTACACGGATAGAATCTTATTCTGTTTTCTGTACATCCTTCATGATGATTTTTTTTTCCCTAGGAATGATGCGTTGAGTAGTTACCTTGGTAATTTCCCTTCCATGTTCTCAATGCTTCTCCATTGTTAATTTTCTTAACATGTCTTTTCAAATTCATAAAGGGAATGTGAATTTGAAAAGTGGTAGTTGAAGTTTGTCTTGGTAATTTAGTGGTAGTTGAAGTCTGTCTTGGTTTCATTTGAGAAGTGGTAGTTGAAGTAGTTGGATATTGAGTCTCTTCTTCTGTGCTTGGTTACCATATTCTCACTTATTATTCTAATAAAAATTACATGCATATCATTGAAGAAATTCGCCAAACCAGATTTTTGTCTTCATTATAATATTATCCCAATTTGATGCATTTGTTGGTGTTCATGGAGCACTAGTTTGAGTTAAAATGGACCTCATCATGCTGTAATGAAGGTCATCATTAATGGATTTGAACTCCTAATTTAGTTGTGGAAAGGAAGAATATAATAAAGGAGCATTTACATACATACCACACAATTCTTATATATTTCCCATATAAACAGCCTTGTGGATAGTGTAGAAGCTAGCATACATTTGAGACCGCATAATTTTCATCAAAATTATACTATAGTTATTAGTAGAAATCTTTTCATCCACCTTTTTTAGAAGCCTATCCATGCTCATTATATTTTCAAGTTGGATTGGAATACATTCAGATTGAAGATTAGAATTTCTCAGCAAAGTATCTCTTTCGGGCTTATTTTTAAGAGGAAGACGTGATAACCTGTGTGAGGTTAATAAGAAAAAACAAGACGAATGAAAATAACGGTTCTGCTTCATGGAAGATCACTTGAAGATGAAAAAAATATAATTTTTTATTGATTAATCTTTTTATGCTTAAAGTAGGAAGCCTGACAAGGTGCTATTTATTTCTTTACGGTTTATTATGGTAAACTATTCATATATGATGTTTTTTTTTTTTTTTTTGCATTTAATGATAAAGGAGAAATTACAATGTTGTGGTATTGCCGACGGATACAATGTTGATGGTGGACTCAAGGTTACTGGTATATCGAACCAGAGGGAGACTGCTGTTATTTGGAGCAACTCTACTGGAATGCCTTTGTACAATACGATCGTTTTTTTGATATTGTGATATTTTGCAGTATTTTTTCAGCACCAATGATAATGCTGAAAGTAGTTAGATTTTTGTGTTGGGGGATTGCCTTCTGCTTCTCCCAATATAAGTATTGGGAATGGGCAATTTCTTCCTTCGCTGAAACGGCTTGATGACTGCACACCACCTTTTACATGGAAAGGTGTATTTCACATTTTAAAAGTTAAATGGGTGTACAATGCAGATTTGATCTCATATTTGGAATTCATCAGACAGTTTGAGCATGTATTTTAACGATATTCTCAGTGACAGAGGCTTAAGCACTTTTTTTACTCGTTTCATTAGTTGTGTCGAGTAAATATGTTTAGAATTTTTACAAAATTTTGGTATACACTTTTCTTCAGGTGGTTTAGGCGAGTTCAGTCTTACGCTTATATTTTTTTCTGATTTACAATAAGAATGTGATGATTTTGGAACTTAACTAGAACCCAATGTGGACATTATATAAATGTATAACGTGAAGTTTATGTGTTATAATGGTAAAAACATATGAATTGGGTGGGTTTGATGCAAATGTCCCAATTTTCACATTCAATTACTATACACCAGCATTTGAAAGGTCCATTTGGCACTCAGGTTTACACAGTTACTAGATCATAAAATAGATGGTGGAAAGATAAGAGGGACTGGCTTCAAAGCATGCCTCGTTTTTTATGAAATGAAAAAAAAGGGTTTCAAAATCCTGATTATATGACATTTTGCTTTTATATTTTTTTGGAGGGACTAGATTATCTGAAGCTTTGTGATGCTTTAATGGATCTGTACCTTTTTGGTTCTTGGCAATGATGTGAATTCTTTATCTTTGATTTCAAAATGCTACCCAACATATGGGTTTGTTTGATTTGTCATCATGTAGTTATGTTGCTGCTGGAAGGCATAATTTGATGGATTACTATATTGAGCTCTAACCCAACTTATAGATTAAAACACTTTTCAGTCCCGACGACTTGGAATTGAATTGATGCCTTTTTGGGAGCTTTTTTTGTGTTTTTCTATAATTGCATACCTTATTTTTTTTTTTGGTAGCACTTCCTCTAAGTACGTAGGAATTAAGTTCTATTTAGATGTTTGGTGCTGTGCGAAGTGTGATTTAGTTTGGAAGTTCTTTGGCACTCCTATGACAACTCCTTTATACAGAACCATTAAATGAAGGAAATTCTTAAATATAGGTGAAAGGCCATTGCAGTACAGAAAATTCTGAAATTTATTTAGATATATGACAATAATGAATGTCAATTTCTGTTTTAAGTTGGCTTCATCTTTAGGACTTTTCAACTATTAATATAGTCCCTGACCATTTATATTTATATGAGGCCGTTTTAATTCCATAATTTATAGAAATGTTAAAATAGTCCACTAGGTTTTTAAATTGGGGCTGAAAGAGTCCTCATGAATAAGGGTGTAAACGAGCCTAACACAAGCAAGCTCAGGCTCAGCTTGTGTTCGGCTCGTTAAATAATATCACTTCCCATTTTCAACTTGTTTATATTTCAATTACAAAAAGTATGTTCGTGTTCTGCTCGTTTGCTTAGCGAGAAGAATATTAGTTGTTCGCAAATAAAGAGTCATTTTGGAAACCTTAATCACTCAGTCGTAGAATGCCAAGGGTTGTGGCAAGATTTAAATCTTTTTGTTTATATTAAAACATCATTTAAATATAATTTAATATATTTGTATTCTATTTTTAAATTAATTTATATTTTATTTTTATTCTATTTTTTAATTAATATATGTATATGATTCTTTAATAGTTAATGGATGCATTCTAATTAAAAAGTACCAAGGGTCCCAAGTATTTAAATATGATTTAAATTATTTTTGCATGTGATAAATATTGGACTAGTTTATTTTTAGAATCTAAACTTAGGCAATTAATATGAGTCTTTCATTATATAGACAATTTTATTAGTATATTAGAGCTTGAATTTAATATTAAATTGTTACTATTATTGTTATTTTCTCTACTCCTCATTCTCCATTTTCTTTCCTTTCCTCTTATTTATTGCGTAGCACTTACCTAACGTTTTCAAAGCATATGAAATCTATGACTGCCAAGTCACTTGAAAGCTTTAAGATTTGTGCAAACCGTGTTGGAAAGAGGAGTTTTTTTAGCACATGAATTCTATGTGAAATGTCGCTTGCAATACCAAAGTCAAAGCACATCTACTATTTATCTTAATAATATTAAATATTTGATAGAGTTCTAATTGAATTCTTTTAATCATAAAATTCAAAACGTTTGCAAGGACGACCCTAGCAATCAAACCCAAATCTAAATTTGTATAAAGTTTTGTTATTAAAAGTTGAGAAGTGTTGAGAAAATGTTGAGAAAATTAGGGCGAAAATTAGGGCGAAGAAAACAATAACGACACAAATCCAGAAGAACACAAAGATTTAACGAGGTTCAGCAAAAATGCCTACGTCCTCGGGAGCAAAACGACGATTCCTTTCACTATTCAGAAAAGAGATTACAAAAATCAGGAATACCTCCTAGGATTACTAACAGACATATTTATAACCTCAGGAGTAAACCCTAGGCACAATATGCAATTACAGCATCACCCCTGTATCATACTGTGGGGCTTTGCCCCCGCACCCCAACCCACGTAACTTTAACCCACGTAACTTTTAACCCACGTAACTTTTCAATTTGGACAGATTCTTCTGCTCCGCTCCGCTTCGATCCAGCGTCTGTCCGTATATGGTATATGATTCATACCATAACAAGAAGGGAAATAGATAAATTGCTATGGCAATGAAGAAATACTTCAATTTTTGACCAAATTTGTTGATTAAAAGAGGGGGAAAAAATATGGAAATGTGATTTTTAAAGTAAAATAGATAAGGTTTTAAAAGAATATTTATTTTTAAAGTTCCAAAATAATAAAAAAAATTATATTACGCGGCAATTGAGATAGAAGGAATCAAGGACATTATTAAAGTAATTAAGTTGACATACAACTTACTTTTTGTAATCATGAAGATCATGAGTAGTAAAATACTTGTGGGAAAAGCTTTGGTTTCAACAATGAGTAAGAATAGAAAAGGGTTTGGGAATTGTGATTAACATAATGAAATAAAATTTATGGTTCATATGAAGTGAATATAGGCTTAGAATAACCCATGTTGGTTTCTAGGAGTTACATTTATTTTGATGTTGAAATCTGAGATGTATGATATAGCGCTCCCATTACTTGACATGAAAAAAAAAGATTGAATGAAGAGTTGAATGATGTCGAGTGCTGCTGAACCAAATTTTAATCATAGTAAAATCATCTCAAAGAAGATTATCATGTTTTTATATATATTTTTAATAATTTTGTTATGAAGATGCTTATAAAAGAGTTTATGATCCCCTCCATTTATGAAGATAAGTGCCATGAATCCTAGAAATCCAATTCACTTAAAACGGCCAAGATATAATTTTTGAAAACTAAATGTTTATAATTAATTCTTACCGTTCGAAGAAAACATTATTGCATACGATCAGGATGTATTTCGATTTTTTTAAATAAAAAAATTCTTAAATGTGGCCCACCGAAATACATCATGACCCCGTGATCTACGGTCATCCGTATGCAATAATTTTTTCATGCGAAGAGGACTGGATGATTAAAGTGAAATTTTACAAGTTGTGAAATATATAAACATAGATTAAAGAAAAAACACTGTAGAAGATAAAGTTGAGCAATCTGAACATATTTAATGGACCCCAAATATTCAACAAAATTTATCTCCCATGACACCAATTAATTTCAATATTTACAACATCCTCCAACTCCATCCAGTTTCAACGGTGACAATTAAAGAAAAAAAAAATTCAATATGGTTAAATTGATCTGCGTTAAGTAACCATAAGCAATTCACTTCTTGTTATCCCAGCTAATATCCACTGGTGATGCAGAGGCTGTACTCTTGGAGCTTGACACCGCCATTAAACTTCCTTGTTGAGCACTGGAGCTTGAAGGAACACTTAACCCAAACAAGTTGGAGGCTGTTGTGTTGTCTTTACCACCATAGCTCTGTCCATGATGAGCAACTTCACCACTTTGGCTTCCACTTGCTCCAACATAAGATGTAATAGCTGCCTGTAGCACTGATTGGAAGCTGGGATCAGAAGTGATTGCCTTTGCTATCGAATCAGTACAAAAGTTTTGCGTCATAGATGACGTGGGAGCTGAATTCTGAATATAAGATTGGTAGAAAGAATCCTGTGGATAATTTGGTTTGTAGGATTGGTCAAGAGCTGCACAACTCATGTACCCTGTTCTACTGCTCCATGAAGATGGCATAGATATGCTGAAGCTTGAGCTTGAATTAGACATGGGAGAGAATTTATTGAATTGGGAGGTTTGGGTGGTTGAAGAAGGTGGAGTGGTGAGGTCAAGAGTGATTGTGGAGTAGGAAGGGGAAGGAGAGATTGTGGTGTTTGGGAGATAGAAAGGTGTTGTTGATCTTGGGTTATTTGATAGGCTGAAGTTGAGGTTGTGGAGACCGGAATTGATGCCGGTGATGATCGGAGGAGTAGAAGAAGGGAAGGCGGCCGGAATGCCAGAGGAATGGGAGGAGGAAGAGCCGGTGATTAGCATAGAGGCGGCGGCAGAGGTGGTGGAGGCCATGGCAGTGGCTGACATTGGAAGAGGGTGGTTGTGATTTCCTTCATATGTAGTGATTAAAATCGACATGTCGACAGCACATCTTTGCACCTGAAAAAGGTTCATGGTAAGTTATCAATAATAATGACTTTGTAAAATTTGAAGTTAAAATTCAAATGAGAATAATTATAATTAAGTTTTTGCAAAATTGAAAATTGCTCTTGAACTAGTAATTACGTAAACATGGAGATAAGAATTTATGCTTCAACCTTGGAAACATATATGTTTTAATAAACTTTACTTCTGAGTATAATTATGTAATTAGTTACATATTATTTACTTCTACCCTATGAACCATGAAGCATATCACTAAAAGGTCTACTATTTTCTTTAGGGTCAATTACATACATATCACCCAAAACATTGCTATTTACAAATATATCCCCCTTTTTCATTCATTTTTTAAATTCTCACTCAAATACCAAAATTCATGATAAAACCTCAATCCATGATTTTCATTTTTATCAAATTCTCAATGATTTAATTGTGACACATGCAAAAACATCAGTTCACTAGTTCAATAACAATGTTTTGGGTGCTATGTATGTAATTATCCCTTTTATTTTTTATCATATATCATCATTGAACAAGACAACACATTTATAAAGAGAGAAAATGAGAGAGTAAATATTTTTTCTCGTACAAAGGGAACTACCATTCTCCACACAATTCTATTTTGGGGTTCATATTCCCACCATTAAATGCAACGTCAAACTCTTTAATATCATCAAAATTAGAGGATGTATAACTTAAGAAAATTCTTAAGATTGTTTAATCATCAATCATATGAAACAAAATGCAATAAAAATAAAGGACAAATTTAAAAAATAGAATTTTTTTTTAATTTTATATGTTAAATTGACATATTAAAAAAAATCTAAACTGACAAAAACGCCTTGTCACGTGGCATTTGTTTTTCAAAAAATTACATTTTTGTGTTAGATATGTAGCAATATAAGATTTTAATATATATTTAAGAAATAAATAAATAAATAAATAAAAACACTTGAGGCTTTTTATTTGTTTTCAAACTTGTTGCAAAACAAATTAATTTTAAAATATCAAATAATTAATTTTTGACCATTAGATTTAAAATTTTGCGTTCAATATAAATTTGATCCCTAATATACATTTCCAACTATTGATGCCATCTTTAATCCACTCTCTATATTGATGATTTTGGTTTCAAAGCAAAATAACTTTTAAATACTTTATAAATATTTGTGTTAACTTCTAAATTAATCAATAAATTCAATCAAAATTGAAACGTGAAGACCAACCATATTGATATATAGACCACATACCTGCTTCCTCACGGGACAAGCTGGTGCAACCGTGCATCGATAATAAGCTCTTGGGCATGGATTCCCCTTCGCAATCTTCTGCCCATACTTCCTCCATTGACATCCATCATTCATCTGCAATTCACAACTTCTATCCATCAATACAATGTTCTTCACTGAAAAATTAATCCCACGCACAAATTAAAATATATATATAGATCATGAAAATTAATAATTTCATGCAATCCATAGGTTTATACATTTATAAGAATATATAATATGAACATATGTATGCACAAACACAAAGCTTACCGTCGGAGTTTGGCATCTCACTCTCACAGATACCCTTGCTTTCTTAGCATGTGTTTGTTGCAAGACTTCATCATCTCCAGATCTCAAATTCTTCAATATTTTGTTTGGAGGACAAGACTTACCAGCCTCATCTTTGATCTCCTCAATACTATCATCAGAACTAGGGTTTGATGCAAGGTCTCTATACTCATTATTTTTATCATCATATCCTTCAAACTTGCAGTCTAAACCTAAAGTCAACCCTTCTTCTTCTTCTTCTTCAACATGACCATCTTCTTTACTTTTAGTATTTGTTTTCATCATCATCTTCTCTTCAAGCTTCTTGTGTCTAGCAACTGTGTTCATCCCAAGCCTGAGAGAAACAAGCTCAGTTTCTTCTGATTCATGTGAAATGGCTGTCAGCTCGTTTGCTGGTGAATTTTTAACTAAGTTAGGTTGTTCTTGTTTCACTATGTCAAAGAAGTGCATCTGAAGAGACTGATAATCTTTCACTATTTGTGATAATAAGTTCTTCAGCCTTTGATTCTCTTCTTTAACCTCCCCTATTTCTGCTTTTGTTGATTCTATTTGATCTTCCTGTGAGAAGAGGATACAATATATTTGATTCTTCTCTTATTAATTTGTTGCAGAACAAGTATATAAATAAATAAAGTTTCTTGATGAGTCTAACCTGGCTGATTGTGGATGAATCTTTTGAGTTTGAAGATGGTCTGGATGAAGTGTTGGCAGATGACTTTTCAACTGTTTTTGCTGGTGACACCTACACATATTAAATGAATATTACTTTCAATAATCAAAAAAAGATTAGAAAAATTAATTGTATTATCTATATTATATTAACTTGAAAATATTATAATTTTGATTATAAGTAATTAATACACAACTAAAACACAAAAGACAAAAAGATTAGTACAAATCACTCTAATTGTGATTAGAGAATTGTCCTCTAGCTCCAACATAACCTAAAGATGGATGTAATAATTTATAAGGTAAATTAAGCTCCACAAATTTACAATTAATGTAAAAACTATTGCTCAAATTAATTCATAAAGTCGCCATCTATAGTTATAGTTATTTATTTTTAATTTTATCTCTTCTCATGCATGTTACAAAAGCCCTATATTGAAAATTCTATCCATTAGATCGATAAAGAGGCAAGCGTTAACGTATTAAATCATCTTAGTATATATTTAATGGTGATTGCATGGCTTTTTTATAGCCCCTATATATAGTAACGATGATATTTTTGCATCATAAAAGCTTGGATTTTAATTAATTAGTTGCCACTGACAGACATGATCATCACAGCAACCAGAATATATTTACATATTTTTATCATGCAAACTTGAAAATTAGAATCCCAACCTTAATTGCCTTCATGCATATCAAGAAAAACATGTATAATATATATATTTTTGTGATGTAAACTTCAAGAAACATTAATGAAATGAAACTTGAAAATTATACATTGGAACCATTTGATTTATTATATGGACTTCCAGCTCTATTTTTTTCACAACTGTGCTATTTTTAAAATAATTAATTTACTGTACTTTTCTGGCATTTTTTTTGTTATCAATTCATCATTCATTGAACATGAACAACTTTAACAAATTATTATATAAATGTTTGGGGTGTTAATTATAAGGATCAAAATTTTTCCTGAAATTCAAATTTAATCCTAAATCAAACTGCTAAAAGCCTTGCCTCTTTATCTTAAATTAATTATTATTTTTTACTACCACATAAAGTACTATTTTTCATTTTTTTTTTCCTAAGAATTTAGTAATTAATTACTTTCCATAAAATTAAGGAAAATAAACTACATGAACTCTTGATTGCTGCAGCCTGCTAAAGAAAGTAAAGGGCAAGAAGCCTAGTTAACCCATGAAAAATTACAGGCTTTACAATCTAAACAATAATTTAGAAAAAAAAAAAGACTGATTCAAGCTAATGTTCTATTCAAATTTTATCAGGATAAATATCAAAATTACAGTTTTTACTTTGAAATGATCTTGTAAAATAAATTTTACTTTAATTCTCCTATTTTACAAATATCTAGAAACAAATCTATCAAGTCTGAGACGAATCATATCAAAATTTCCTAGCCTCAACTGCTCAGAAGATCAGAAAAACAGAGCGCAGGTAAACGTGTAACAACCTTTTACGAACCGCTCTCCATTAGCTTCTCCACCTCCATCTGCTTCATTCTTCAGCTCTTTCTTTGTTACAAGCGGCCTCTTCATCACAACCTCCATGGACGTGCCTACGCTTCCAAGCTAATTAAACTCTCCCCCTCTCCTCTAATTTCCTCCTAATCTTTACTTAATCTGCTTTATCAGGCCTTCTTCTTCGTCCTTATAAAGATAATTAACCTCTAACAGTTGACTTAAGGGATTGGCTATCTTCGGTTTCTCTCTTATATAAAATTTATTTAAAGTCAAGATCCGAATAAATCAACATCAAGGGAGGAAGAAGAAAATTGGACTTTTATTTTTAAGGAAAATAAATGATTATTTATATTAAGGTTTTCAACGTGTGAAAGTGAGACATGCGTTTGGCTTGCATCATAGCCCGAGCAGCAATTCTTGCCGTACTTTCCGGGTTCTACTCTCATAAATTATAAGTTTCTAACTAGTATAATATGATCAATTAATATCCAGTCTCTTATAATAAACTTCTTCTTACTGGTTTCTACGGTTCTGATAAACCTAACCCCGCCGGCGGCCACCAGATCGCCGGCCGGACATCTCTGGTTGCTTCATGCTTGTAAGCTAGCTGTTTACCAAATAAATCAGTAAAAAAAATAATAATTCTATATTCAACTTATTTACTTATTTGATAAAACTCAAATTATTAAGCAAACTATACTGAATTACTGAATTATATAAATATGTATTTTTTAAAAAGATGATCGGCAACATATGATTATTCACCCCATATGTGCTAATCCGAGTTAGATGAAATCGAACCTGGGACGGATATGACTTACTCTAAAGCTGTCAATCGACAAACCACCAACTACTATACATATATATGCGCGCGGGCACACACAGATATACATATATATATATATATATATATATATGGTTATATATATATTACAGTCTTTTAAGAGTTAGGTGGTTGTGTGGATTATATTGTTCTTATTTTTTTTAAGAAAAAAATTGTAATAGCCAATATTATTTTCTTAAAAATAATTTGTTTTTGTAATTGTTTCTTCAAATAAATGCACCTTCCCCAAATAGAATCATAATTTTTTGCTCGCCATGTGTTATGAGTAGATATATTATATATCCCAGTTAAGGTTTATAGAAATCAATTGTCTTAGACATACTCTCTAATATTTTGTAATATAATAATTAGATATATTATTCTCATATCAAAATAAATCTAAAGTTCTTAAAATTTATCATGATGATCAATATATTATGACATAAAATTGTCTCAAAACTCATAAAAGTATATATTATGTGAAAGTCATAACCAAGTATTATTTAACTCTCATATTTTTTACATAAAAATGAGCAAAAAGGTAAAATATTTTGCGGTGCTTTTGACCTTATTTGATCAGTTTTTAAATTTTTATTTTTTGAAGAAATGTGGTTAATCTTTGACTAAAAATTTTTACTCTTTTTCTTAATAAAAACACACCTAAAAAATTAATCTTTAGTCGGCCATTTTCTTAAAAAAAAATGTAATTAAACATTTAAGAACATGACTAAGAAATACTCTTAACGATGCTTTGAAATAATAATAATAATAATAATAATAATAATATACCATTTCATAATATTATTAAAAATTTGACTAGCTCAAAAATTTAATTATCAACATGGATAATGGCAATCTTAAAGAAGACAGTACATAAGACAAATGCTCCCAAAAGCTTGAACTAATGTATCCGTTAGTCTTTTCGTGTAAGACAACCGGTCAAAACGACACGATTAGCCTATTAATAAGAGGAAAAAACAATAGATTTAACTTAAATTTAGCCAAACATCACAAAATTGAACCTTAAATTCAACGCTCCCTTAAATCGAATTTTCTCACGATTTATCTATTTTCCTCGCATTCCCTCTTATTCCTGACATAAATCCAAATTTACTAACACACCCAAACACCAAAATATATTTAAGACAAAACTGACCAACACGACAAGAACCTGATGAGCTGAAAAATGACATGAACTAGTTCTCTTCTGATACACGTCTTAGCTAGCTAATTAACTAATTAAATTGATTCTGGAAATTTAATTGTTAGTTGAAAACTATTTTTTATTATTATTATTATTATTAGAAAAGTTGAACTATTTAGCATAAATATATACACGTGCTTGAACTTGGGCAGCGAAGTGAGGAGCCGGATCTCCCACCAACTGCTCTCCAAGCAGGCTAAGAAAAAAATAATTAATTAAAATTTAGTATTTTTCAATTGTGTATATATAAATTTAAAAAATAGATTTTTCAATTGACTATTTCATTATTTTTATTGTGTGTATATAGTGTTTATTATTCTCAAATAAAAATAATTTAAATTATCTTTTTTCCACTTGAAAAGCTGATAAAATTGGGCTTTTAAATTATGTTTTAAAAAAATATTTTCTTTTGGAATTATATAAAATTTCTAACGTCAAACCTAACGAAAACCTTATTAATAATTAGAAGGAAGATTAATTAGGTTGTTGCTGCGCCGTGTAAACTTGGTGCCATCCGCATGCGCCGATTTCCTTGAGCAATCGATAGGATAATTACCATGACTATTAATTATAATTAGAAATATTTACATAAATACCTCTCAATTATTGTGTATTTACTTATTTGCTACCTAAACTTCAGTTTGTACAAAGATATACTTTTCTATGTAATCTGAAAGATTTGGGTGTATAATTGTGAAAGAAAGTGAAGTTTAGGGGTTGGATATGTGAATAAATAAGAATTGGGTGGTATGTATCTAAATGGCTCTTATTATTACTATTATTCGTACAATATATAAACATTTTCGTGGACTTTCTGAAAATATGAATGAGGCACAATAACTCAGATTCTACTTTGTCTATACGTGCACAGGGGTTGCATTATTTTATTTTATTCTATTCTCTTACAAACTCCAAATAAGGTGTCATATATATATATATATATATATATATAAAATACAAAGAGAAGATGTTTTTGTTTGTTTGTTTTATTTTGTTTTTTTTATATATTTTTTTGATTTTTTTGCTGTCTTCCTTTTCTTTTCCATCACCAAACTCTTAATTAAAATATTAAGTATAATTAAGACTGGTTGAATTTAAGAGAGTGGCATTTATTATTAATATATGTCGAAGAACAATAAAGTTATATTTTTTAGAAATGATTTAGACTCTTGAACTGAAATAGCATTTTTTCTTCAAAAAAAAAAAAATTTTCTCACATTAACATAAGTGAAAAAGAACTATAAGAACATAAATTTAGAATAATATTCAACAATTAATAGATTATTGAATTAAATCATTCATACGTTAGATACACAAAAAAAAAGTGAAAACATTTTAAGAAAATCACTTTTATCTGAGAAAAAAATGATATTAAAATTTGAAGGTTGTTTTAATTTAATCACAATTAGATAATTAAAAATATATTAATGTTAAAATACCTAATTGATTATCACTAATCTACTTAAGTTTTTGAATTGAAATTGAATTATTTGATGATTTGTGCATTTAAGCCTACTTTAATTAATTTTTTTAGTCATCTAATTTGGAAAATGACAAAAAATTATCAGCCTAATTGTAGATGGTCATGCAGCCTTATCATTGAATATATATATTATCCCTTCCAATCCACTATCATTAATTTAAGTGCAAGAAAATTAGTTTATTATTGTAGAAATTACTTGTTAGTAATTATTAATACGCCATCAATGAAAAATGTCCTAATTTGCTAATTTCAAGGCATGTCACAATCTCAAAGCAAAGTTTTTAGTAATAAATATTCCAACTTCAATGAAAAATTATTCAGAACTCTAATATCAACAAACTTATAGTGAAATTGATCAACTCGACCAGATGGATCCAATGATACCAAAATTCGTACATTTTAGTTATGCAAAGCACGGATCAAGCTATTTAAAGAGTTTTTAAAGTATTCAATGCATTATTGAAAGGCAAATGGATTTCAAATTAGACATACTTATAATCAAATTAAGTGTTTCAACCAAAATGATCCAACAAAACAAAAATCACTCAAATCTGGCACCATTAAGACACTTAAATGTCTGCAGAAAGTAGTTTGATTAAGGGGATATCTCTAGGTCGTCTAATTGAGTAATCTGAATTTTTTTCATTATTTGTTGGGAACCCTCTCTTTGACTCCTTCCTTCTGAAGGGGACTAGATCTTGAACAAGAGTAAGACTATATCTTGGAGGAGTTGAGGTCTTGAGATCTACACTGAAGATCCAGTGAACATTTCCCGCTTCTGCAGCCACTAACCACCTTAGAACATTGTTTTTTTAGTAGTTGATGATTATCATCAGCCACCCCCTTGTGGAATCACGACATACATTGCGTCATCCCTCGCATGTTGTGAAAAAGCTAGCAAAACTCTTGACGGAATAGTTCATTATCTTGAACACTATGCAACAACACACCTTGAAGGCAACGTACTAGAGTCCCATCAATCACTCCCTACTGCAACCACCCTTAGCATCTGCAATAATTATTGTATTATGAGAAAGTGTAGTTTTTTCCTACCTTTGGGACAAGAGGTCATACCTATAATCATCACTTCATAGCGAATTGTTCTAATTGTGTTAGATTCCATGATTTTTTTTTCCTTTTTGGGTTCTCCATGTAAAACTTCCTAATGTCTCTACTTTATACTTCTATTATATTAGCGTGTGTTGGATTCTCCTGCAACGCTTAGATAATTCATCATTCTACTGCCATAAATTAATCTTCTAGCCCGCATCAATTACACGCATACATGCTAATCGAGTGATCTTTATTTATCTATTTATTTTATTTTGACTTTCAACGAAGAGTATTTATAGAATTATCAGAGAAATTTGCGTGTAGAAAAGTGTATCATTCAAAGCCAAAAACTTAATTTAAACACTGAAGTAGACTAATACAATTCATTTGCTAAATTTTGGCAGGCTAAAATTTACTTTTTTTACACGCCTACTTCATATACTGTGACATAAGTTGCATAATTTAGAAATTAGTTTGATCAATTCAATGTGCTAAGGATAGGTTTATTTTGTAAATTAAAGCCG